CATCAGGCCTCTAGTAAAAACATACTAAAAAGAAAATGAAAACAGTTGGTCTAATTTATAAAATGTCCTCAGTCCCCTACTCAGCAATTCCAGATCTTCCCCAGGTTATCATTGTACTGCTTGGTCACAAGCCTTTTGTAAAAATGTGTAATTATAATGATAATAATAATTAGCTTACATTTATTGAAGGCTTGATCCACTCTTCTAAGCACTTTATATGTATGAACTCATTTAATCCTCACAATAACTCCGTAAGGAGATACTTTTCTCATGAGGAAACTGATTGTAGAGGTGTAGATCCCACAGCTAGGGAAAATCAGAATTTAAGCCAAAACAGTTTGACTTGGGAGCCCAAGCTCTTAACTACTATCAATATCATTAGCGTGTTGACACTTCTTGACATTTCATTTTCTGGAAGCAAATAATTTCTCTTAAGTGTGAAGATCTGATAAATAAGTCACTTGAAATTCCCTCATAAAATCACTCAATGCAAGTGATGTAATTTATTCATCTAATGCAGCGGTTCTCAACCTGTTGGTCGCGACCCCTTTGGGGGTTGAACGACCCTTTCACAGGGGTTGCCTAAGACCATCGGAAAACATATATATAATTACATGTTGTTTTTGTGATTAATCACTATGCTTTAATTATGTTCAATTTGTAACAATGAAAATACATCCTGCATATCAGATATTTACATTACGATTCATAACAGTAGCAAAATTACAGTTATGAAGTAGCAACGAAAATAGTTTTATGGTCGGGGGTCACCACAACATGAGGAACTGTATTAAAGGGTCGCGGCATTAGGAAGGTTGAGAACCACTGATCTAATGGAAGGGTAGCAAATATCCCAGTAAGCTTTGTGCAATTTCAAACATAGCATAAAGCATTTGCCAGTGATTCCACATGAATAACACAACTTTGAACAGGCAGTTAATATTTTCTTTTTCCAAATGTCATTCATTGAAATCTGTATACTCAGGTATGGGATTTTGATTGTGCATAGATTTCATAATCTGAATTCAGACTCGCACTGCTCCTTAGAACAGAACAGTCCTGTCACAGTCCCCGGGGACATTGCTTCATGGACGGTATAAGCATGTGTTTGAGCATTAGTAAAGGAGCACCCAAAGAGAGAAAAACATTGAAATAATGTAATGTTTTGTAATTTTTGAAGAAACAATGAGGTCATCTTTCTGGAAAAATCATACCCCTGTGACCTGTATTTTGTTTGGAGTTATTATCATTTTGAATTGTGAGTGGTGGATTGTGGGGGAGACATACCATCTATGAGATGGTAGCCTGGCCCTTCCTTGGAGCTTGGTGGGGCAGAGACAGTCACTGAGTCACAATCATTGAACAAATACATACGCTATAAATGATTGTGAAAAACATACAGCAGCATGGTACTGGTCTGAAAGCATTTGTGATGTGCTAATTGAAGGAAGGCTGTTGCCTTTTATTTATTTACTAGAGGCCTGGTGCACAACATTCGTGCACTGGTGTGTGTGTGGGGGTCCCTCAGCCCAGCCTGTACCCTTTAGCAGTCCGGGAGTCCTCGGGGGATGCCCGACTGATGGCTTAGGCCCACTCCCCATGGGCCTGGGCCTAAGCCAGGGGTGGGTAAACTTTTTGACTCGAGGGCCACAATGGGTTCTTAAACTGGACCGGAGGGCCGGAACAAAAGCATGGATGGAGTGTTTGTGTGAACTAATATAAATGCAAAGTAAACATCATTACATAAAAGGGTACGGTCTTTTTTTTTTTTTTTTTTTTTTTTAGTTTTATTCATTTCAAACGGGCCGGATTCAGCCCGCAGGCCGTAGTTTGCCCACGGCTGGCCTAAGCTCAGTCGAACGTTCTTAGTGCTGCCTTGGAGCCTCTCCTGCCACCGCCGCTGCACTTGCCAGCCATCAGCCCAGCTTGTGGCTGAGCAGTGCTCCCCCTGTGGGAGCGCACTGACCACCAGGGTGCAGCTCCTGCATTGAGTGTCTGCCCCCTGGTGGTCAGTGCGCATCATAGCAACCAGTCATTCTGCCGTTCGGTTGATTTGCATATTACCCCTTTATTATATAGGATTTTATCCTCACCCAGGGATATGTTTTTTGGATCAAACCTATAACCTAGGTATGTGCCCTAACCAGGAATCAAACCTGCAGCCTTTTGGTGTACGGGATGACATTCCAACCAAGCAAGCCTCTGGCCAGAGCAGGGCTGTTGCCTTTTAGTTGTACAGAGGAACCTTGGCTCTCAAAATTTATTCCGGAAGGCTGTTTGAGAAGCTATTTGTTTGAAAACCGAATCATTTTTTCCCATTAGAAGTAATGTAAATTGAATTTGCCCCAGACTCCCAAATGATTTGCTTTTAACCTTTCTTATATATAGTATGTCTGATCTAGAAACAAATACTTCTTTTCTTAAATTTATCTAACCACTCCCTCTCATCCTTAAATGAATCACTTTCAGCACTTGTTCCAGGGGTATCTTTCAGGAAGTCAGTATGCAGCATCTTTGCTTTTACACATGTCATCATGTGTAACACTGTCATGGGCTGACTGCTTTTTGTTTACCCAAATCAACAGCAGTTTTTCTACCTTTTCAGTTGCCTGTGATCATTGTTTCTTTCACACCCTTAGCAACATTAGCACCCCTGATGGCCTCTGTATGTTTTAAAAATAGTGCTAAAGCTCCATTTCACCAGCAGTGAAAGCAAAACAAAACAAAACACAAAAATATTCACAGCACAGTTTCTTGAGATGTTAATAATATGAGGTTTTGTGGTAAACTGACTCATATTTTCTTCTTTGTTTGTGGCCTGCAAGGCACTTTTTGTCATGCTGATGTATCGGCAGGAAAGGGTTATCAGATCACGAACTGAATTGTTCAAGATGGGAGATGGAACCGAGGGTTGACTATATTTTTCTCACTGGGGAATGTGTGGAGAGGGAAAAGTAGAAGAGAAAGAAGAAAATAAAAGAGAGAGAGAAGAAATTCTAGGGCTCCTGGGAGTTTTAGAAATAGTACAGTTTTAAGTAGCCAATAAGAATAGCTTTGTAGTCCTGGCCAGTGTGCTCAGTGCTTAGAGTATCAGCTGGGCGAACCGAAGGGTCTGGGGTTTGATTCCTGGTCAAGGGCATGTACTTGGGTTGCATGTGTGGGAGGCAACCAGTTGATGTGTCTCTCACATGAATGTTTATCTCTCTCATCTTCCCTCCCTCTCACTCTCTCTGAAAAAGCAATGGGAAAAAAAAATCCTCTGGTGAGCATTAACAAAACACACACACACAAACAATCCTCACCAAAAAGGTTTGTAGAATAATATTATGAGGAAACATTTTTGACACATTTTGAAATGCAAAAAGTAGGATGCAAAATACTATGTGCAACATGAACCTTTTTTTGTTTTAAGCATATCTATAATTATAAAAGCGTAACATGCAAATCGAACAAACGACGAAACAGCAGAATGACCGTCCAGATGACCTTCCAGATGACCACGCTATGACATGCACTGGCGCTGGGCCAGCCAAGGCGGGTTCGATGCAATTGTTTTGGGGGGGCCCCGCCATCGCCCCATGATCACCCCGCAGAGGGAGGCCCAGGCCATCGATTACCCCAAAGAGGGAAGCCTAGGCCACCAGCCAGTGGGGCAGTCAGTCAGGGGGCAGAGGGGGGCGTCCATGATCACCCCAAAGAGGGAGGCCCAGGCTACCTGGCTGGTGGCACTGCAGCAGGTGGGTGGGGCCTCCCTCTGCCCAGCGATCGCCCCACAGAAGGAGGCCCAGGCGGCCACAGAGGGAGGCCCAGGCCACCCAGCTGGTGGTGCTGTGGTTGGTAGGCAGGACCTCCCTCTGCAGGGCGATCTATCTGTGGGCCCTGAGATTGATTGCCCCACAGAGGGAGGGCCGGCCAGCGATCACCCCACAGGGGGAGGCCCAGACCAGCCAAGCAATCGCACCCCACAGCTGTCGCCCGCAGAGTGAAGTGACTGGTGGTGATGCCGCACAGATGGCAAGCAGTGGCAGAGGCGTGGCGGGACCAGCTGCCGGCAGCCAGGGGGAAGGAAAGCCCTGATAGGTCCTGATTGTCAGCCAGGCCTAGGGACCCTACGTGAGGGATTCCGGATTATGAGAGGGTGCAGGCCAGGCTGAGGGACACCCCCCCTCCCCACCCCTGGTGCACGAATTTCATGCACTGGGTCTCTAGTATACATATATAGAAAAATATGGAAATGTCATCATATACATCAATATGTGATCAGTGATTATATAGGATGGTGGGTTTCCAGAATAAACAATTTTTGTTTATCATTGGCTTTTTTTTCTTTCTTTTTTTTTAGTTTTTGCATTGAACACATATTGCTCCTGTGGGAAAAAAAGGAAAAACAATCCTATATGATAAAAGGCTAATATGCACATCAACCAAATGGTGGAACGACCGGTAGCTATGATGCCCACTGACCACCAGGGGGCAGACACTCAACGCAGGAGCTTCCCCCTGGTGGTCAGTGCACTCCCACAGGGGGAACGCCGCTCAGCTACAAGCCGGGCACATGGCTGTGGTGGGAGCCTCTTTCTCACCTCTGCGGCAGCTGGACATCCCCTGAGGGCTTCCAGACTGCAGGAGGGCACAGGCTGGGCTGAGGGCCCCCCCCTGTCCCCCCCCCCCCCCCGAGTATGCCAGTGGACATTAGAAGCAGAGTTTCAAATGAAGTATGAAAGAAGGGTATAGTCAGGACTTTTTTATGAGAAAAGACCATTAGTGGCAGCTGTGTTGCTTTGGGGTGGCTTTGAGAGTAGTTTTAGCTTGAACTGCAGGTTGGATTTAGAGCTGTTCAGAAAATGGCTCCTTCCCCCCCCCCCACCCCTTTCCTTTCTTTCTTTTTTTAAAACTGGCATTTGAATAAAAGTGTGCAGCCTTGACCAAAGGGTAGAGGAGAGAGTTGATTGCAGGGAGTAAAGGTGGTGAGTTAGGTCATTGTTTCAGTTTGATGCCAAGATAATTGAGTAACATAACACTGTGTGCCTGTAGTTGATCTGATCTGCCTGTAGTCTCTGCTAGTGGGTTTGCTCACTTGAACCCTCTTTGAGCCCGGTGTTCCAGGGGACACTCTTGAAGGAAAGTGCAGTTTGGGGAAGGTAGGTCTGGCTTCCTTTCCCCGGGAGAAGATGTGCCAGCGAGGGGAGGAGGTGGGCCACCTTCCGAGGAAGACCTCAGCGCCGGAGCTGCCCTAGCCATCACCCGATGGAAGGTAAGGCCTGCTCATCCGGCTCGCAGGCTCCAGGAGAGGGGACAGGAAGGGCCCTGGGAAATTAGAAGTAAATGTTTGAAACGCGGCAGCTGAAGATGGTGAGCCACTCACTCCTAATCTTCAAATGTAGAAGAAACATTATCACCTGACAGGTGGCAAATCCTTTTGTTTTTTCCCCCTCTCACTTTTCTTACAAAGAAAGCTTTGTTTTTCTGTTAAACTTTGACACATTAGCTTCCTTTCTTCCTTTCCCTTTTCTTAAAAAGATTTTAGAACTTTGAGCCCCGGCCAGGGTAGCTCAGTTGGTTAGAGCGTTGTTCTGATTCACCGAGTTGGCAGTTTCGATCCCGGTCAGGGCACATATAAGAATCAGCCAGTGAGCACATAAGTGGAACAACAGATCGATGTTTCTCTTTCTCTCTCAAATGAAAATTAAAAAGCAAACAAAAAGAAACTTTGACACACTGCCATCCTTTCTGCACCTTAAATTTCTGGAGGCTTTTATTTTCAGTTTAATTATACAAAGAGTCAAGTGCATATTTTAATAGGTCCCAGAAGTGTGTTTGCATTTTTAAAATTGAATTCTTTCTAGGAGTAGAAGAATGTATTAGGGGTAAAAGTATGAAAGTATACTTCTGTATAAGTTCTGAGTAATTCTCATTTGAAATGCTGAGGAACTCTATCCAGTTTCTAAATGTAGGTATTTCAGATTATTAAAACAGTAGGGAAATGTTTTATTATTCTTATGTTCACTATCTTTTATACAGTGTGTTGCGTCAGTTTATAAAAACAGTGCCTACAAGAAATATTGGTTTCAAAAAAAGAATTATAAAACCAGTACCAAAGAAAATAAAAGTAGTATAATGTTAAGTTTAATAAATTGATCATAGATTTGAGTTTCAGGTTTAGCTGTAAATTTCCTTGCTGCTAACGTTAAAAAAAAAAGGAGGCGGGGGCTCAATCTTTATTACAGAAAATAAAAATACCAGTTTTTAGTAGCATGGCTTTCTGTAGCTATAATTTCTAAATAAGGATTCAGGAGGAGGTGTTGTGTTCTTAGTGGTTGTTTGCAGGAAATGAATGTCAATTGCATGTCAATTATAGGAGCAAGTTATTAAATGTTGGGTAGTTTTTTTAAAAAATTATATACAGGTAAGCAATGTTTAAGATAGAATAAAGGGAAATCTACTTTTTTGTTGTTATTTAAAAGCAGTTTCTCAACTTCAAAACAGAATTCTCTGATTGTACAACTCCTTTGATATCCAGCCATTCATTGAGTTGTTTCAAACAAACTGATCTTTCCGGCAAGTGTTTGCTGCCTGTATTCTTTTTAAAAAAATCTATTTTTGTACTGCTATCAATTGAACCAGAATACCTAGTTAAATGAACATTTTTTTCCACATGTTTCAGTTGATTGGTTTGATAGGGGCTAGATATAAATCTAACAGATGGCACTTGGCAGGATAAACTGTACTTTGTTTATGGAATACATTTAGTTCCAGGACACACACCATATTTACTCTGTCAACATTTTCTCAATAAGTGGAAATGGTGTAACTGTAGATTGTAGTTTAGTTGATTCATTGTCTTGTGTTTTTTTTTTAATGTATCTTTCTTCCAAACAAAGCATTCTTTTAAAACTTCTTATTATTTTAAAGTGGAGTTGTGATTCTGAGAACAAAATCATTTGTTCTGGGTCTGGCTTCTTTTGAAAAATTATTTGTGCTAATTGAGGATTTATGATACAGAAGGTTTATTAAACCCACAGATGATTTCTCTGGCTTTACATGAATTCTTTGCAAATATTTGGCTGTCTTTTAGATATATCGAAACTGCAGGATTGCTAAATTTCATGGCATCAGCCTTTTGTGTAGGGTGGGCAATCCTAGAAATGAGTGATGGATTTATGGAATCAGCTTGCTTTTGTATGTCAGTAGCCGAATCATGTCAATTAACTTTCCAAGCTTTTGTCTTTGTTAGAAAACATTAAGACCACCAATTTCACGTCAATCCAGAGTGACTGAAATGGCAGTTAATTGCTTTTTCACTTTTCTCCCATTTTTAACTTGTTAAGAAAGTTTTACATCACTACCTGTTAGCGAAATGCAACCTATGTGAGTGCTTGAATTCAGTGCAAGTAGACAGCTTCCAGTTTAAGCCAAAGAAGTCAAGGTTTGTTTTTTTTTTTAAATATATATTTTATTGATTTTTTACAGAGAGGAAGGGAGAAGGATAGAGATTTAGAAACATTGATGAGAGAGAAACATCGATCAGCTGCCTCCTGCACACCTTCCACTGGGGATGTGCCCGCAACCCAGGTACATGCCCTTGACCGGAATCGAACCTGGGACCTTTCAGTCTGCAGGCCGACTCTCTATCCACTGAGCCAAACCGGTTTCGGCAAAAGTCAAGGTTTTTTAAAGAAGCTGACTCTGTCCTGGCCGGGTTGCTCGTTGGTTAGAGCACTGTCCCAATATCGCCAAGATTTCAGATTTGGTATCTGGTCAGCGCACGTAGAAAAATCAGCCAATGAATTCATGGATATGTAGAACAACAAATCGATGTCTTCCCCCTGCCCCCCACCCTTACTCTCTCTCTCAAATTAATTTTTTAAAAAAGTAAACTGTATTTCAACCAAAAAAAATTTAAAAAGAATGGAGATACTTCCATTCCACTTTAGAAGTGAGCCTTTTAGTTAGGACGGACAGTATTTGTGAGGTAGGATTTCTTGTATTTCAGTTTCCAAGCACTTTTAAATGGCTGGACAATGATAAAAATTATAGGATAAGGTAAATGACTATAACTCAGCTGTGCTTGGAGCCATTTGAGACTTAGACCTCATGAGGTTTGTGGGCCAGTTCTTGACTGGGCCTACCTTCATTCTTTAGAATTGCTACCCTGGGATAGATAGTTCCATTTTCTTGGGTAGCTAGAGGAAATGGGCAGAAGACATCCACACCCCTGTTTTTTTCCTGGTCATACGTTCTTAAGGATACCATGACTTACATCTCTGCCCAGCAGCAACAGTATATTTAGAGTTCAGGAGATTTCTTTTACATCACCATACTGATTTTTAACTTTTGAGGTTCAAGTGATCTATTAAATATCACAGGAAAAAAGATCTCACCTGTGCTATGTGAGAATTGGCAGTGGAAGACCAAATGGACACCTTTTTTTTTTAATCCCCACCTGAAGATATGTTTTATTGATTTTAGAGCGAGGAAGAGGGAGAGAGAAAGAGAAACACTGATGTGAGAGAGGAACATCGATCTGTTGCCTCCTGTTTGTGGCCGGACCAGTACTGAACCCTTAACCTAGGCATGTCCCCTGACTAGAAATTGAACCGACAACCTTTCTGGTGTATGGGACAGCGCTCCAGTGAGCCACTCAGCCAGGGCTAGATGCCTTTCTTTAAAAACAAAACAAAACTAAACAAAAATACCTCTTTTTTAAAACTGTGATAGGAAAATTGCTAGCCGTATTTTGAGCACTTAATTTTGACTGTGCTTTCCTCTCTGTACCCTTAATCCTGCATTTTTTTTCTTTTTAATCCTACATTAATTTGTATAGATTTCTTTGAGGTAATATACTTTTATGACCTATTGAACAGGTGAAAGTTCTTGAGTGTTGGGAACCATTTGGTACAAAGTGTAGAAGTAGGAAAGCTGAATAAAACAAATTTGAAACTTGGGAAGAGTAAGGGAATAATTTAGCTGGCTTAGGTAATCTAGTAGAAAACATTGAGTCAGTGTGAAATAATTAGTAACCAAAAATAAGCAATGCAGGGAGCTCAGTGGATGAGAATGATGAAATCAAGGGGCTAACAATGAGAAATGATTTTAATAATAGCTGTAGGGCTAGTTCAAATGGAGAAAGAGAGTTCTTTAATATGATTCCATAGTCAAGGGCCATGACCTGCAGAAATGGGGCTAGGCTGTCCTCATGGGTTCTGAAGACTTCTCAAGGGAGAAGGGTGTGACAGTGAGGTCATGGCAGGGCAGCAGAAAGCGTTGTCAGAGTGAACACGAGAAAACCGAAGGGATGATTACGTAAGAGCTGTTTGACATATGTGCTGAGTGGTGATCTGATGGTAAATTCTTCAGGAAAAGGGATAAGAAATGCAAAAGCTGAGGAGTTCAGATGATGAAACTGATATCTAAAAAGCTTTTAAAAATAGCTTTTGCTTGAATAGAAGGATTTAATCACTGAGAGAAATTGGTGAGGTTGGGATCTTTAAAATGAAAATAGTTGAAGAAAACTAAGGAGTCATAAAGTCAACTTGCTATTTGAGTGCTGCAAAAAGCAAGTTAAATAGACATGATCCTTCTTATCAAACCTGTTATACAATTATGCGGTTAAGTACTTACTGGCTAGTATTCAAACGAATATACCAATGTTCTTTTTTTTTTTTTTTAATAAAACAAGGAAATAATTTGCATAATATAAGTTAAGGTCTAGTTTTGTTTGGCATGATCTCCCTGAAAGCTATTTTAACTGAGCATATATTACATCCCGTTTGGGAACTTGCTATATTTCAGTAATAAACAGAAACATAGAAGATGTGTTCAAAAAGAAAATGAAAGGAACAGAATGCACACTTGCAGAGGGGCAAAAGTAAGAATACGTAATAGTCACAGTTAGACTTCTAGGTTATTTTGTGTGTGTACACATGTATGTGACGGTACTGTGGTTTTATGTTTATTTATATGAATCTAAAATATCCACCTGATCAACAACTTTTGTGATTTTTTTTCTGAGTGTGATAATTACTAGCAATACATTACATAAAAACGTTTTTATTGTTATGGGGAGATAGCAAAGTATTCAACTACCATATACTGCATTCAGTAATCCGGCATGATGTAGGCCTGCTCACTCACAGCTCTGCTGGATTGTTCAGGTGATTTAACCTTTGCAACGGAACAGAATGCCTACTCCAGCACAGCGGGCAGGTTTCCTCTGAGATACCACTTCAGTAAATCAACACACATACCACACACTTCTTTTTCTTTTAAAAATAAGGAATTTTAGTAGTAATGTTTTTTTGTTTTTGTAACCAAATTGAATTCATAAGAAGTGAAGCATTAGTATTTTCCTTTAAGTCAGCGGTTCCCTGACACATCTCTGTAGCCCAGTGCTGGCCCATGACAAAACTTTCATAGGGAATATGGAGTTTTTTAAATAAATTTAAATGTATTCAATGGAAAGGCTATCTTTTTGAGATTTTTGTCCTATTTACATTTTTGTGTTAAAATATAAACTTAATTTTAGAGAAAGATTTAAAAAATATTTTTTGATTATGTGTATACATTTTTTTCTAGTGTATTGACACATAATTGACATATATCTCTGTATGAGTTTCAAGTGGTCCATGGTGTGCACCTGTAGTAAGATAACTTCTACCAAAGTGCGTTCTTAAAAAAGAATTAGCTATTTTTATAGAAACACCATTCAGACCAGCTTAATCAATGAAGGGGATTTATTGGCTCCTGTAATTGGGAAGATCAGGGGTGGGATGGGCTTCGAATATGAAGTAGAGGTTCTAATGATATTGTCAGGACCCTGTCATCATGGCCTCGCTCTGGTTCTCCTGTGGATCTTCTCAGGTAGATGGCAGTGTGGGTGGCAGTGCTGGTGGTGTGGCAGAGGGGGCCTTTGGGGAGGAAGACTTAGTGACTGCTTCGGAATGATGTTATCCCAGAGCCAAGTGAGAAAACTCCCAGAGGGCTTCCCCTCTTAGCCCTGTACGTCATTCATTCTTTGTTAAACTAACTCTTCCCTTCATTGTGATTATCACAAAGTATCTCATTTCTTTGCACGCCTGATTGTTTTTCCTCAGGAGTGTTGTTAATCATGTAATCTAGCCGGCACTCAGCAGAGAATAATCCAGCAAACCTATGAAACTCCAGGGGAGGACTCAGATCCTGCTCAAGCCTCCTGTCAGCATGTGGTCTGGAGGGTAGGGAACTGTGGTTGACAGACCTACCAGAACCTCACGGACTAGGGCAGCGGTTCTCAGCCTGTGGGTCGCGACCCCTTTGGCGGTCGAACGACCCTTTCACAGGGGTCGCCTAAGACCGTGGTCGGCAAACTGCGGCTCACGAGCCACATGCGGCTCTTTGGCCCCTTGAGTGTGACTCTTCCACAAAATACCACGTGCGGGCGCGCACGTACAGTGCGATTGAAACTTCGTGGCCCATGCGCAGAAGTCGGTATTTTGTGGAAGAACCACACTCAAGGGGCCAAAGAGCCGCATGTGGCTCGCGAGCCGCAGTTTGCCGACCACTGGCCTAAGACCATCCTGCATATCAGATATTTACATTACGATTCATAACAGTAGCAACATTACAGTTATGAAGTAGCAACAAAAATAATGTTATGGTTGGGTCACAACATGAGGAACTGTATTTAAAGGGCCAGAAGGTGGAGAACCACTGGACTAGGGGAAGGACGGTTTCACACAGGAAATGGAGATGCCATTAGCTAAAAAAACTGGGGAAAGATGCTGAGCAAACAACAGAAATACATGCCCATCATTTGTGCTTTATGTTCTTTAAACAAAGTCTGATATTTTACCCGACTGCCCAGGCTGCTGGGTAAGATGATGGGCGCTCTGCAGTACATGAGGGTGTGTGGCGTACATGAGGGTGTGTGGCTGAGGGGATGGAGTGGGCTGAGCTGCAGCCCAGGGCTCCACTCACAAGCTTCCTTTTTCCGGGAGGCACTCTGATTTTGACGTGACACAAAGGCTCTGTATGGTCTCTGTGCACAGTGGCCCCGGTACAGTACTTATCTCCCCATCTAACCACAATAGCTTATGCTGAAGTAAGAATACTAGCAATAGGAACAAAAGTATGAACTGGACGTGTCTCTGCATCTGGATCCCAAAGGCCAACCCATTGTAGACCCTGTGCTTAGCCATGTCCTGCACTATTCTCAGAGAGATGACTCAGTCTTGGGGAATTCCTCCTTTCCTTTCCTTCCCTTCCTTCCATCTTTCTGTTGGTCAAGTTTCCCAAGAGTGCATTTGGAGCTTTCTGAATTTTAGGGTGACTGAATGGCAATACAGGGACTGCCACCCTTCTTTCTGGCTTATCTACATTTCTCTGCATTTCCATGTTGATTGAGCTGATAATTCTGCTTCCTGAATAAGAAGGAACTGCCTGTATCTATCACTTGCCCTTCAGTGAAAACGATTTGTCTGAAAGCTCAATCTCTTTGAGGTGTGTTTTATGTTTTGTCTGATTAAATATGCCTTGGAGGCAGTGAAATGCTCATTTTTAAAAAAAGAGGTGAGTGGGTTGAAGGAAAAGAAACTCAATCTGACTCATTTCGGGCTGCCGGGAATCTCCTAAGTCCCAGACATACTGCCTGGCCTCTCATTACGCGGGAGGTTCTCCGGCAGCAGCCCAGCCTTATTTATCTCGCTTTCTGGGGCTGCTTGGTTTCTTCTCTGCTTCCCCCGGACGTTGTTTCCATTCATCTGATTTTCTCTAAACACTGACTTACTGTGTGTGCCCATCAATTTGCAGGTGGCCGAAACTGGCAACTGGTATTTAATCTACTCATTGGATTCTCAGTGCAAGATCACAGGAAGCTTGCACCGACATCATCTGGGGAGCTTAAAAGGAAATATTTATAGGGCTCAGACATAGAATTCTCAGTCAGTAGGTATGGGGTCCTAGAATCTGTATTTTAAGAATGTTTCCTGCCCTGACCGGTTTGGCTCAGTGGATAGAGTGTCGGCCTGCGGACTGAAGGGTCCCAGGTTCGATTCCGGTCAAGGGCATGTATCTTGGTTGCAGGCACATCCCTAGTGGGTGATGTGCAGGAGGCAGCTGATCGATGTTTCTCTCTCATCGATGTTTCTAACTATCCCTCTCCCTTCCTCTCTGTAAAAAATCAATAAAATATTTTTTTTTAAAAAAAGAATGTTTCCCAGTAGGACTATCCAGATGCCTCCAAAATCACAAGAGGGGAAGAAGGAAAAGGAGGGAATGATGATATAGATGAGCACGCCTTAGCATCCACTTGTCCCCTATCCAAGGAGAAGGGATGGATATTCTAAGGCATTGAAAGCAAATGTTGAAGAATACAATAATTTTCCTTAAAGGCAGCAGTACCGACAACAACAGTTCTTCATCTAAATTGGTGGGTGGGCAGTCCATTCAGGCGGTGGGGCCATCTGTCCCTTATCAAGTCAGTGCCAGTTTCCTGAGAAACACCCAAGGCCCTTAGAGCCATTGTGATAGATAGCTTTGACAGCATTTGCAGCTGTTCAAATAGGCTCTCTACCCGGGCAGGTGGGTATGATCTTGCAGCTTCAGTGCCCATCAGTCTCGAACTAGCAATAGTAAGTATGTGTTTGTGTCTTAGTTCAAAGTCTGTGAGAGAATCTGGTCACTGGCCAGCCGATCAGAGGCCCACTCTGGAATTGTGTGTCCGAGCAGACTTTGAGAAGGGCATTAAGTGGTCAGTGCATTATGAGCTTTCTTTTGGTTGGCTTGCAAAATAGAGGGTTAAGTGAATATTTGTGATCCCTTTTCATTTTGGTTTTCCCCTAGATAATGGAGGGATTATATTCCTACTAGAGGCCTGGTGCACGAAATTCATGCACTGGGTGAGGTGGGGGGTGTCCCTCAGCCCAGCCTGCGCCCTTTAGCAGTCCGGGAGCCCTCGGGGGATGTCTGACTGACAGCTTAGGGAAGTGGGCCTAAGCCGTCAGTCGGACATCCTTAGCACTGCCGTGGAGGCGGGAGAGGCTGCTGTCACCACCGCTGCACTTGCCAGCCGTGAGCCTGGCTTCTGGCTGAGCGGCGCTCCCCCTGTGGGAGTGCCCTGACCACTATGTATATTAAGATATAAATAAAGTGCCCAGCCAGAATGGCTCAGTGGTTTAGCGTCAACCTACGAACCAGGAGGTTATGGTTTGATTCTCAGTCAGGGCACATGCCCCGGTTGTGGGCTGTCATGTAGGAGGCAGCCGATCAATGATTCTCTCTCATCATTGATGTTTCTATCTCTCTCTCTTCCTCTTCCTTACTCTCTGAAATCAATAAAAACATTTTAAAAAATATATAAATAAACTAATATGGTTTATTATTTAATGTGTTTAAAATATATTATCATATGCCTTACCTTTTATTGTGTACTGACATTTGTAAAGTGTTGTAGCAGTTTGATTCTGAGATCACCCAATAGTAATGGAAGCTATCACTTGATTTAATAAATTTGTCCACTGTATAACTTCAGGGACAGTTGAAGACATTACATAGGTATTAGTTACATAGAATATGCAAAGATAAGAAAATTTATAACTGAGATTGAGCACAGAAAATAGCTCTGTAGTATATTTCTGCATACAGAGCAGTTATATGGCACAAAGCAGTTATGTGTTAAGTCCAAGAAGTATAATGTATCTTAGGGTTGGTTTAAGAACATATGTGTTTTATTTTTTTAAGGCAAAAGGATTTATTGTGAGGGTTTTAAAGCAAACTCAGCACACAAAGTGGTGAGAAATACAGTGTGGTGGTTAAAATTAAACCTTTAACATCAGAACTTGGTTTAAAATTAAAGCTTTGTGCTTGACAGTTTCATGAACCAGTGATGAAAGATTAAAACTTATTTATAAAATGGGGCTAATAATACCTATCTGATGGCAATGCTGTGAGGATAGTGTTTTATATCTTTAATTATGAAAACCTTAAGTATCCACATAGTTCATCTGCTTTTTAAAAATTACCTTATCTTTTCTTTTCCAGATTCCATCCCTGTGTGGAACATCTAAACAACTTTTATTAGTGGAAACATTATTTTGCTACAAAATGAATTCAGCATCTTAATTGAAACCAGCATCTGTGTGGTTCTAATTCATCTGCTATGGTTTATGAAGCTTCAGATCTAAGGAGTACAGGGTCTTTTGCGATGACAATATGACTAATAGTAAAGGAAGATCTGTTACTAATAAAACAAGTGGTGGTCCAAGCAGTGGAGGAGGTTTCGTAGACTGGACTTTAAGCTTACATACAGTTCAATCTGATAAGTTTTTAAACTTATTGTTGAGTATGGTTCCAGTAATTTACCAGAAGAACCCGGAAGACAGGCACAAAAAAGCGAACGGCATTTGGCAAGAGGGGTTATCAGCTGTGGCACAGACGTTTGGTACCAGATCTGAGCCACACGTGGAGTATCACAGGGTCCCGGAGCCGTCTTTCCATGGCAATAATGGGCACACGCCATCAAGCTATAGCCCAAAGTACGACGACTATGCCAACTACAATTACTGTGACGGAGGGGAGGCCTCCGAAACGACCGCCATGCTGCAAGCTGAGGAAAGGCCCAGTGACGGCGAGGAAGATGTCATCGTGGAAGCAAACCCAAAGCTGCCAAAGGAATCCAGCGGCATCATGGCCCTGCAGATCCTCGTGCCATTTCTGCTAGCTGGCTTTGGAACCGTCTCTGCCGGCATGGTTTTGGATATAGTCCAGGTAGGTTTTCGTCTTCAACTTAACTGTCTTTGTTGTTCCAGGTGCTTTATGCAGGCTACGCATCTCAGACACTTACCTTTAGATTTCAGTTGTCCCATAGTAGAATGAACTGACGCTGACTCTGGGTAGAGACTTTGCTCTTTGTAGGTGTTTTCTTGTTTGTTTTCCTCCAGAAGTTCTAAGAGAATAGTCTCATTCTGACCAGGACGTGAGTCTTCATAAAGTTTTACAATAATAAAGTTGGCTTTGAACATATAGAGCAGTGATGGCGAACCCTTTGAGCTCGGCGTGTCAGCATTTTGAAAAACCCTAACTTAACTCTGGTGCCGTGTCACATATAGAACTTTTTTGATATTTGCAACCATAGTAAAACAAAGATTTATATTTTTGATATTTATTTTATATATTTAAATGCCATTTTAACAAAGAAAAATCAACCAAAAAAATGAGTTCGTGTGTCACCTCTGACACGCGTGTCATAGGTTCGCCGTCACTCATATAGAGTGTTAAACAAAAGATAAAAAGTCTTCCCTATTCCTCATCTCCAGCCCCAACTCTCTTAACCTCTGGAGGTCACCTCGTTCTGAGTTTGTTGTACATGCTTGCAGACTTTTTTCTGTGCACATGTATATACACATTTGTGCAGAGGTGTTGTTTTTTCCAAACATCAAAGTGAAATGCTGTATATATATATTTTTCTGGAACTTATTGTCATTGCTTAATATTACACCTTGGACACCTTTCCAGATTAGTAACAGAGATATTCTGCATTTTCAAGTGAGTGCTTGATGTTCCATTGTATGTCTACACCAGAATTTGCTTACTCGTTTCCCCCATGCTGGTGCTATCATAAATATCCTTATAAACATGTCTTAGACTCTTTATAATACCATTTTCATCAGATAGCTGTTTGTGTTACTTTTAGTAAGTTTTTGTTTTATTTTAGCCATTATATCCCTAGCAGTGTCGTTATTATTATCTGTTGCTATTGATCATCATCATCATCACCACCACCACTGCCACACCATCATCTTCGAAGGATGCATCTCCCCACTAGCACAGCAGAGTCCTTAACCCATCGTGAAACAGGGACAAGAACATGTTTATTAGCTTTTTGACAGGGGGGATCCAGGATGCTACTGGAGTCCCAGTGCTGTTTTAGGCCCATCTTTAATTGCAAAGGAAGGCTTTCCTTGAAAAGCCTTTGAACCAGGGTTTTACCAGAGACTGATCTGAATAAACATTTCATAAACTCTCTTTCGACCCTCGTTCTACACCTGTTTAGAACAACCTCTAGAGAAACTTTGGGGACAAAGTGAGTTTTTCTTTAATTTAGCGGATGGATTTAAATTTTTTTCCTCATCTGTCTTGGTATTAATGATGGCTGTGTTCTTGATTATTTTTTTGGCATAAATTAATATGCTTAGTTTATAAAGTCTCTTACTGGGACAGTCACCTCTTAATAGCATTTGTAAAATAGCATTTGTGTTAAGTCATTTGTATAGTCTTTTCAGTTCTTAAAGTACTTTAATATGTGTTACTTTCATTATCATGGTATTTCCCAAAGGTCTAGACAGAGCAGATAGTATCTGCATTTCATGGATGAAGAAATTGAGATCTGAAAGATACAGGCCTCATCGAGGATCACACAGTCAGGTTATGAAAGATCCAGGCCTAGAATCACAACTCTAATTTCCAATTTAGTGCCCTTCTATGATCCTACTAGAGGCCCGATGCACGAAATTCATGCAAGGGGCTCTGCCTCCGCCACCATGGCAGCTGCCTGGGCCCCTGCCTGCTGCGGTGGCCGGGGGACTCTGCCTCAGCCGCCGCCGCCGCTGTGGTGGCTGCCTCCTCTGCCTTGGTCCCCACCTGCCACGGCGGCCGCCTCGGCCCTCACAGCCCCAGCTTCATCTGGAAGGACGTCTGGCCTAATTAGCATATTATGCTTTTATTATTATAGATGTCCTGCAACCTTTTTGCTTCAAAACCTCAAATTGGGAGCAGAACATGGATGACTTAGAACTCCTGAGGTCAATTCTGAGTCTCATTTTTTGACCTTGGGAAAATCATTTAACCACTCTGAATCTTTATTTCTTCACTAGCGGCCCAGTGCATGACATTCGTGCACTTTGGGGAGGGTGGATCCCTCAGCCCAGCCTGTGCCCTTTTGCAGTCCGGGAGCCCTCAGAGGATGTCTGACTGACGGCTAAGCAACAGTTGAACATCCTTAGTGTTGCCACAAAGGCACTAGGGGGCAGCTCCTGCATTGAGCATCTGCCCCCTGATGGTCAGTGAATGTCATAGCGACTGGTTGTTCCACCATTCGGTCAATTTGCATATTACCCTTTTATTATATAGGATTTGTGAAATTAGATAATAATATTAATGTAGTTTTCCTGTGGGGTGGTTGTAATTAGTGTTGGAACCAAGATTCAGACCCACGTTACCTGGTTCTTGAGTCTTTGCTCTTAAGCATGAGTTACGCTAACTTTTGCCATCAAAAAGGGAGAAAGTAGGATGTATGGGTGATATACTGCGGCGGCGGCGGGCGAGGGACGGCCATATTTGCCGGTGCGGCCCGACCGGCGACAACAAAAAGTGCGCGGGAGCTCGGCGGGCGCACGGACGGGCACACGGACGCCGGGCCCGCCTCGCTGCCGCCCGGCCTCGCCGCCGCCGCCGCCGCCTCGGCTGCGCCCCGCCGCCCGGGGGGATGTCTTACAAACCGAACTTGACCGCGCACATGCCCACCGCCTCCCTCAACGCCGCTGGGAGCGTCCACCCGCCTTCCACCAGCATGGCGACGTTCTCCCAGTACCGCCAGCTGCTGAGTGACTACGGACCGCCATCTCTAGGCTACACGCAGGGAACAGGGAACAGCCAGGTGCCCCAGAGCAAATATGCTGAGCTGCTGGCCATCATCGAAGAGCTGGGGAAAGAGATCCGGCCCACATACGCGGGCAGCAAGAGCGCGATGGAGAGACTGAAACGAGGCATCATCCACGCGAGAGGACTGGTTCGGGAGTGCTTGGCTGAGACGGAGCGGAACGCCAGGTCCTAGCCTCTGAGTCAGCGTGAATGCTTTCCCTCTTCTTCCCAGAAGTGACAGCTCATGCCCCCTATACAGATGAAACTTGGTTTCAAAATGGTAACAGCTTGGTTTGTCCTCCCTGTGCCCCTCCTGGGGTTCGTCAGGCTCCGAACCTCCCGTCGCTGAGATGGAGATTTTCGCAGTTATTAGGTTTACATGTTATTTAGGAACTACCCAGGGCGTTTTGTGTTTTTTTAAGCATTGATTTACATGATGCACGTCAGTTACCTATCACCGCAAACCGTAGTTGGCCTCCCAGATACCGGTGTTTCTCTTCTGGATGCATTTCTGTTACGTGGTTCTTTGTTTCTCTTCTGAGCTGATCCAGCTCTGAGGGTTTGTTTCAGCGAGTCCTGCGGCAGCCCTTTAGTAGCCAGCGCGTTCGCCACCCACTATAAATTCTGCTCAGTGTAACTTTTTTTTTTTTTTTTGCTTAAGCATTTGCATGACTATTAGTACTTTGAAATCCATCTTTAAAATGCACAAGTTATAAATACAGAAGAAAGAGCAACTTACTGAACCTCAACCTCCAACCTCGCCTGACAAGGACCCCTGAAATTTTCCCTAAGGATGTATGTAGATTTCAGTTCCGCCTTTCCCATCAGTGGATCCAAACATCTGGAAGAAAGTGACTAATACTGTTTGCATCTTTGTATGTATTTATTACTTGATGTAATAAAGCTTATTTTCATTAACAACTGGAAAAAAAAAAAGGGATAAAGTAAACTTTAAGGGTGGAGTGTGTAGCAAGCTAGATGTATTTTGGGATGTAGTGACTATCAGCTATCACTCCCAACTCTAACTGGAGCTTCTAAAATAACTCAAGGCTTCAGAGCTATGGAGAACGGGGTTAAGCTAAATGTTCACTGATTAAATGACCCGTGTTGTCATTCAAAATGCAAATGCAACGTTGGAAAAAAGGCTGAGATTTTTTAGAAATGTCTTTGTTCTGAAATGTGTGTTTTTTTTTTTAAGTGTCAGCAATTTCTATTTTTGTTTTCCTTACAGCACTGGGAGGTGTTCAAAAAAGTAACCGAAGTTTTCATTTTAGTTCCTGCACTACTTGGTCTCAAAGGGAACTTGGAAATGACATTGGCATCTAGATTATCCACTGCAGTAAGTTTTTTCCTGCCTCAAAGTATGTATGTTACCTATGCTGTTTCCATCTGTTATGGAGAACCTGTATCAGGAAACATTTTTTTCCCTGTCTGTTTGATACATTTCTAGACCTTGGGGCTATGCTAAGTATTTCTGCTTGATAGGACACCCGGAGTGTCCTCTGGGTTGTCTCATCTGAAAATGACAGGCCCTCCTTATCCCGAAAAGCAGTCGTATACAGCAATATGCGTGCGTTATGTTTTAAGAACTGGTGGATCACCTCGATAGAACTAAACCCAAGAGGCTTTTTGGCAGGAGAAGAGAGTAAAGAAGAGGTCTTGAAAAACAAAAGTGGCAGCCTTTAAGGGAGAAGGAGGTTATTGGGATGAGAATTAAAAGGTGGCTTTAGTTTCATTGTGTTGAAAAATGAACTTTGTTCTGATAAATATAGTTAAGCATACAAGCATTATGCAACTTGGTAACTTCGCAGAAAAGTGGAAATTTTGGCTGGCTTACCTCAAAAAGAAAATATTTCTAAAAGCAACATTCACACGCATTATCCAGCATTCGTTTCTATTCAAATAATAGATTAAACATTAGTTTTGAAATAGGCCATAGTGTAGGGAATATGGTTAAAAAAGGAGTATGCTGCAAATTGAATGTTGTTTAATTTGATCACGTTACCATTAAAACTGAATAAAGGTGAGTCCACTCTTTCTTAAAACAAAAAAAGGTTTTTATTGATTTCAGAGGGAGGAAGGAAGAGGGAGAGATAGAAACCTCAAGGATGAGAGGGAGAGATCAAAACATCAATGATTGATCAGCTGCCTCCTGCATAAACCACACTGGTCGGGCTGAATTTACTGATTTTTAATTTGAACTTTAGTTGTTTTGGCATCTGTATTTTATATTAGGTATTTTCCTCAAACGTCTGGTCATGTCTGTTTGTGTGTTCATATTTAATAGAGAATTCCAAAGCTGATTAGGGGCGTAGTGTATCAGTCGTAGCCTTCACTGCAGAGTGATCTAGTTGGGCCTTTCTTTCTTTTTTTTAGTGTTGAATAATTCAAATAATTTTATTTTCTAAATCTAACTTTCGTACAAAAGCAAAACACGAATGTGCAGACTCACGCTTACAGGACAACCAAATTATGAGTTATTTGTACAGAAAACGTTATATCTAACTGATCAGAAAATATGCTAATGTTCTTCTTTTTAAAGAAGACCGACACGTTAATAATTTACTTGTCAGGTTCCATTAACATTGTCCTACCCTTGACTTTCTTTTTATTTTTAATTTATTTTTTATTTTTCAGTTTTAGCTATGTAGCAGTTATTAATTTATCTTTTAAAAATGGTTTTGCCAGGAATACGATACTAAAACAGTCCATTGTTAAAACAGAGTGCTCAATCTCTTGTAGCATATACATTCTTAGGGAATGAGCACTATTCTAATGACACTTAGTTGTCTGGTTCCTCCTCCAATTTTTTTTTTTTTATTGTCTAAAGTTTTACATATGTCTTCTTTTACCCCAATTGACCCCCCCCCCCAGCCATTCCCACCCTGGGCAAGCCCCCACCGCCCCAGTGTCTGTGTCCATTGGTTATGCTAATATGCATGCATACAAGTCCTTTGGTAGTTTGGCCTTTCTTTGGGGAGGCAGGGTGACATTGCTGCCTTCCATAGGTCAAGGATTGTGTCACTGATCATAAGATATTTGAGTCATAAACTGAAGGAATTATTCAGTTCTCCAAGCAATTAAGACACCATAGACTTGATGCATAATCCGTGTTTTCTTAGCTTGTTGCCATGAGCCACTACCTTTTCCAGGCACTACTCATTTGTTAACTTTTATTTTTTGAGGCTCTTTGAGATAGAGATGTTCCAGGTAGTGCCAAAGGTCAGAGGCAGGACTGTTGTTGATATGTTAGACCCATGGTTCTCAACGTGTGGTCCTCTGATCAACAGTGTCAGCTACTTGTTAGAAATGAAAATTCTTGGTCTCACTCCAAAGCTGCGGTGTCAGAAATGATGGGTGTTTGGTTCAGCGGTCTGTATTTTAACAGGCTTTCCAGATGGTTCTGATGCACATCAAAAATCTGAGAACCACTGTGTTAGATGCACAGCACAGAGGCCAGTAGGGCTGGGACCAAGTAATCGAGGGGATAAGTCACAGGGGATGAGATTACCTTATCCGCCCTTGCAAGGACTTGGTTCTTGTGTGAAATGGGAAGCCACTGGAAGATTTTGAACAGAGGAATGATGTGATCTGATAGATATTTTTAACGGATTATTTTGACTGTTGTGTTGAGTCAGGACAAAAGGGGGCCAAGGACTGAAAGCAGGCAGGCAAATTGAGATCATGTTGGCTTGGATCAGCGTGGTAACAGCGGTTATAGCGAGACATGTTGGAAACCAGAACTCATTTTCAGAGAGAGGTGACAGAATTGGCTGATGAATTAGCTAAAAGACCAGGAGTAGCCACTTGAAATTTTTTCTGGATTTGAGAGGAGTAAAGTAAACATATTAGTCAATGGAAAACCAGTCACTTGTGGCATCAAACTATGTTAACATGGTATATTCATCTAGTGTATGGTGTTTTACTTGCTTAGAGAATGGTCTCGTTTGCTAGGCAGAGGACTACAATTCTTAAAGAATTCTAGAGCGTCATTGTCAGCTGTTTTGATACTCTGTCCACCGTTAGAGCAACCCCAGGTTAATGACTTCCTGAGACCTTGTTTGGAGGTTCTAGCAGGGGAGGGCAGCTACTCGAACACCCTTGACTGAAGACAAATCCTCTCCTCTTGAGGGAAGGCCGTCCTCTTTGAGCGCGTAGCTTCCGGAGGCAGCATCTGGATTGGTGACGGAGGAAGGGGACACCCGCTGAGCCAGCCAGATGAGCCGAATCAACCCTGGCAATCAGTGGGGTGACAGATGTCGCGGCCAGGTCACCCTCACATCCCAGATTAATGGCTTCTTCTTAGAAAAGTCCCCAAAGTCTCACCTTCTATGGACTCTTCCCTGCCAGTTCTCTACTTGAAATTTTTATTACCCTCAACTTTGAGACCCCACACTCCCCTCATTCTCCCAACTCTTTCATTGCTGCTTCTCAAGTCTACTTTTTTGGTCTCTTTTTCTTTGCTCATCCTCTTGATTTGAGATTTTCTTAAGGCTTTAGTACTCTGTTCTACGTGTTCCCTGTCAGTAATTTCATGTAATCCAACACTGCTTGCACGTGGCTCAGCCCCGTGCCTCCAGTCTGTTTTCTGACCTCCAGAGCTGAATTTTCGAATGGCTGCACCACTCACTACATTCAAAAGTAAACTCATGACTTTCTCTTACTCCAACCATTCCCTTTTACCTGTATTTCTTATCAGCTCACTAACATTGCCAGTCACCTCGTGCCTCCCCTCTCCAGCTGGACTGTCGGTTCCTACAATGAAATCCCTCTTCCCTTTCTCTTACACCCCACCTGCCACAACCTTAACTTAGTTGCCTGTTGTGTAATAGAGATTGCTGTAGCTGATTCCTAATTGTACTCCCTGAGGGAAGAGTAATTATTTTTTAAACTTAAAACGAGCACTGTTTGAAAATCAGCCTTTTCAACTATGTGCAAAAAATCTTTAAAAAATTTTACAATTTTCCAATGTAGTTTTAATTTTCCCTTGTTAAAGGAGTAAAAGCCATTATAGCTTTAAAAGGCCAATCTATGATTATTTTGATCTTTTTTTCAATTTAAGGGTCTTTTCTCATTTTTATGATTATCTGCAGGAGAATCAGGATAAATGAGCGTCTAAGATTATAAGGAAGGCCTCAGGAAAGCATAACGATAGCGAACTTAAAACATAAGATATCAGATATAGTCTATTACCTCAATCTGTTGAAGGTTAGTTGTTCTTAAAACTTGTTACTTTATAATATACCAAAAAGGTGCGGGTTTCATCCCTGGTCAGGGCAAGTACAGTAGGCCACCAATCAATTGATGTTTGTTTGTTTGTTTCTTTCTCTCTCTCTCTCCCCCTCTCTCTCTCCCCCCACCCCCTTTCTCACTCTAAAAACCAATAAAAACATATTCTCAGGTGAGGCTTAAAAAATATTTAACTTGAGTAATTTTTTCTGGATTTTTATCTTTTCAACAGTAGATATTTATTATAGAAGATATTATTATAGATACATAAAAGTAGTATGTAATTGGAAAGTAAGCCAAGTACAGTGGTTCTACCTACAAATTGTTGGGTACTATTACCTGAGGTCTGAAATTTTCTGCTTCTGAATGCTAGATATAAATGAGTCAAAATGGTATACATTGTCCTAAAAATAGTATTTTCTAAAAAGCCTGTGAAACTATTTCCTAGAAGCAAATTGCCTAACACAATTTGATAAGCACTTTCCCACTCTAGCCAAAATTGACTTCTGTTGCCTTAAACCTCTTCTCAGAGAACTCTTGATTTCTGAAATTATTTTATAACATTCTACCTTTTTAATACATTAATTTAAAACCATATTTTTAAAATATGTTTTTATTGATTAGAGAGCAAGGGAGAGAGAGATAGAAACATCAACGATGAGAGAGAATCATTGATTGGCTGCCTCCTGCAGGCCGCCTACTGGGAATCGAGCCCACACCCCAGGCATGTGCCCTTGGCCGGAATCAAACCCGGGACCTTTCAGTCCGCAGGCTGATGCTCTGTCCACTGAGCCAAACCAGCCAGGGCTTAAAAATATTTTTGAGTCTTTGCTATATGCCAAGCGCTGTGTGTGCTAGGGAATCAGCAACAAACAAAACAAAATGATCCTGCCCTCATTGAGCTTACATTTCAGTGGAGGGATATGAAGAAGTTGGCAGAGCCTCTGTCCCTAATAATGTTAAGTTAGACTTGCAATTCAAATTGTAAAACTTCTAAAATAAAGAAAAACTAAAGCTCCCAATAATGGTATTAATAGTTTAGATTTCCAGGCTTAGAAAAGAAGTATACAAATTAAGACAGAATGAATAATTATTCCAAAACACTGAGAAATATTAATATTTGCATTTGCTGGATACTTTGAGACTGCAGTCCAGAGTGAGTTTAGACAACAGGATCTGTTTTCTAGATTGATACAGGAAAGGTTGGTGTAGCACGTAACCGAATGGTCTGAAGCCAGTTTGACCATAGTTAAAGCTACCCATAAGTATGGAATACCCTTGTATATTTTCCACGTTACCCTTTCACCTATCTTCTGTGACCAAGCAGATAATAATTGAAACCTGGCTCCGTATAGTATTTTTAATAACGATTGCTCATTGTTTTCCAAAATGCTGCAGTAGAAAAACTTGTCAGATTTGCATATACATTTTATGAATCCTAAGTGGTTGATAAGAATGATTTGGCTTATAGCATAATTAAATATGTGAATAATAATATTTTTTGGAGTGCATTCTTCCATTTAGCAGAAAGATATATAAACTTTAATAGTGAGATATATGATCAAAATTCATATGGAACTGAATGATTTTTTTTATTATTAACAGTGTTAGTCATGACTCAAATATAAATTATGTCCCTATGAATGATTTGTTTATATCTGGATTTTTTGGTCAATAATTCTTCAAATCACATTAGTTTCATGATGTGAAATTATATGCCAGCAACTGAAAATTATGTACTTACATTGGCCTACATACACAAAATTTGGTATGTTAGGATGCACTTGATGGTGTTTGTTGTAAAAAAACATCACTGGGAAGGTGGGTAGTACTAGCCAGTCCACTTGTGAGCTAGTAATTAAGCTAAAAAAATTTCTGAAACATCTCAGGCAAGCTGAATGTGAGATGTAAGAATAGTAGCTAACTAAGAATTATATTTAAAGTGCAATGTGATCTCATCAGATTTACTAAAGATTTGTCTTTGGCTTTAAGACTTACTGTGCTGTTTAAATAGAATAGAGAGCATATAGCTTATTCAGTGATACCTGAAAATATCCACCTTAACAGGTAAATATTGGGAAGATGGATTCACCCATTGAAAAGTGGAACCTAATAATTGGCAACTTGGCTTTAAAACAGGTAAGTGATACACATATTTATTTATAGATCTTGGGTTTACAGATCTTGGTTGTTACCTGTAAGAATGAAATAAATTTTAGTTAAGTCTACCATTTAATTGTTCAGGGGACCCCAAGTGATAATTTACGACTGCAAAAAAGGGATAGAATAAATGAATATCAATGATTTTGAAAGTTTCCTTTCTCTAGAAATTATGTACTTCTAAATATGAAAAACATACAATATAAAAATATAAATATACAAAATATTTTCTGTCCTAAGTGTATAAGAGAGCCAGAGTTTGAGTTTAATATCTGTACAAATATAGGATGTCCCAAAAATATATATATGTTTTAAAAAATATATTTTTATTGATTTCAGAGAGGAAGGGAGAGGGAGAGGGATATTGAAACATCAATTATGAGAGAGAATCATTGATTGGCTGCCCCCTGCACGCCCCCTACTGGGGATTGAGCCTACAACTCAGTCATGTGCCCTGACCAGGAATCACACTGTGAGCTCCTGGTTCATAGATTGACGCCCAACCACTGAACCACACCGGCCGGGTAGGAACTGAAGTTTGTATATCATTAATCATGATGGTGATTACATGTAAGGTTATTGTTTAAGGTCCACCAACCAAAGCTCTTTAAGAGCAGGGAATAAACCCGTTTTGACCACTGTGGTCGCCCAACACCAACCATAGTGCCTGGTACATAATAGACGCTAAATTAATAGTTGTTGAATGAATGAATTTGAATAATTTGCCACAAGAGTAAGTGGTGTAGCGAGGAGTCAAACTCTCATCTTTGGATTATAAAATCCAGTCTCTTGCCAACACTGCCTCTGGCATCAAGCTTCACTTTGGTGGGTTGTGTACTTTTCAGCCCTAAAGTCGCTATTTTCTTAGATGTCGTGTGGATTACATCATGAAAGTCACTTGAGATGCTTGTTAAAAACAGATCCCTGGACCCTCTTCCATACCTGGGCAGCTTGAGAACCCACTGCCTTAGAGAATATTAAAACTAAAATATAGTAGCTTCTCTAAAAGGCAGCTCAGTTACTAATAGCCATACTTTCCTCTGACTTCTCATATGCACATTTATGTAATCAGGCTTACAGGTGTGTTTGTGAAATGAATAATTCCATTGAATTTTATGAAAAATTTTTTTTTTAGGTTCAAGCAACAGTCGTCGGTTTTCTAGCAGCCGTGGCGGCAGTTATATTGGGCTGGATCCCAGAGGGGAAATACTACCTTGATCACTCCATACTGTTGTGCTCTAGCAGCGTAGCAACTGCCTTCATTGCCTCTCTTCTGCAGGGTAAGTACATTTACAAGTGCCCACTCGTAGTCTTTTACTTTCATTTCCTAATATCATGCCTATTTTTGTTTAAATGGTATGTGTTCATAATAAAAAAAAAAATCAAAAAGTTGTCCACAAACTTTAAAAATGCCTTATTTCAGATATATTTATATTTATTATATGTAAACCTGAGTGCAGAACAGGCTTTTGGATTGTCTCCTGGCCGTAGGTACCCTGGGACAGTTCTCAAACAAGATCAAGAGCATAGCCGAGTTACTCATTTGTTTCTGTTAAGTTAACTTAATTGAGAAACTTCTTTCCGGAAAATCATGCTGAGGATTTTACTGGCTTCTCAGTTGAGTAACAAGGATTCCAAGAATCCTGAGTTCCAAAGGCAGTCTCTCTGTTGAAATTTTTTCAAGTTTTCAGATTTCAAAGAAAACTCTGCACTATCTCTGTGGCAATACAAATATAACCGTAAGCTTAACATAGCAGATTGTTGGTTGTTGAACTTGAGAGAGCCAGAAGTTGTAAAAAACTAACTACATGAGAAATTTTCAGTTGGGATATTATTTTTAAAATATTTATTAATTAATATGAACTTCACATTGGATAACTAGATTATTTATGGACTGATAGTCATAAAGACTTGGTTCTTTTTATTTTATAATCATCATCTTTTCACCTTTATATAACCAACAAGATTCAAAAGAAGATTCTCTTGCTAGGTGATCATATAATGAAGCTAACTTTTTGGCTAGGTTCTTTCCCAGAACTTAAGAGAATTTAATTATAATTAAGACTTGACTTCTTGCCCAGCCGGTGTGACTCAGTTGGTTGAGCATCATGTCCCACACACCAGAAGGTCACTGATTTGATTCCTGGTCAGCACACGAGCCTGGGTTGTGGGCTCAATGCCTAGTAGGGGCCATGCAAGAGGCAGTTGTTCAATGTTTCTTTCACCAGGTAGGGGAAGTTTTCTGTCATTATTTCTTCAAAAAGGTTTTCAATATCTTGCCCTCTCTCTCCTTCTGGTACCCCTATAATTCTGATGTTGGTACGCTTGAAGTTGTCCCAGAGGTTCCTTACACTATCTTCATATTTTTGGAATCTCTTTTCTTTTTTCTTTTTCGGTTGGGTATTTTTTGTTTCTTTGTATTTCAAATCTTTGACTTGATTCTTGGGATCCTCTTTTCTGCTGCTGGATCTCTGTAAATTATTCTTTATTTCAGTCAGTGTATGCTTAATTTCTAGTTGGTCCTTTTTCATGTCCTCCATGGTCTCACTATACTTATTGAGGGATTCATTAAATTTATCGGTGGTTTCCATAAAATTCTTGAAAAACCTTATAAACGTGGCCTTGAACTCTATATCCAGTCGTTTGCTTTCCTCCATTTCTGCCATTTGTGACCTGTTTCTTTGTCTCCGCATTTTGGCTGCTTCCCTGTGTTGATAGAGTGGCCCTGCGTGCCAGGTGTCCTGTAGGGCCCAGTGGCTCAGCCTCCCCAGTTACCTGAGGTGGACACTCTTGGTGCACTCTTGTTGCCTTGGTTGTTGTAGGATCACTGGGAGGAATTGACCTCCAGGCCAATTGGCTGTGAGAATCAGCTGTGTCTGGAGTGGGAGAACTTCTGTGCTGAAGACACCCTTCTGGGGCAAGACTTGCTTCAGTGGGGCTTTGGTGCTCACTGAGTCTGCTCCCTGAGTGTGTCCCTTATGGATCTGAGGAATTGCAATCTGGATGGTCCCCCTCTGACCACTGGGTACAGTGGCTCCTGGATCTAAGGAGGTGCTAATTCAGCCTCTGCCTGAGGCCACACAGCAGGAGCCACGAAGAGGCTCAGCTGTGAAGCAATGCAAGCGTTGCGGGGCCTTGGGCCTTCTCTTGGAAGTTCCGGGTCTGCCTGGTTCGGCTGCAGTTAGGTACATTCACATGCAAAAGCCTCTGCCGCAGCCTGGGTGGGGCGGGGTCTCAGGGAGTCAAAGAGCAGAGAAAGCAGCTATGGCCGATTCTCCGCCCGGAGTCGTGCGTCTCGGAGTCGTGCGTCTCAGTGTCCCGGTAGTGGCTGCAAGCACCTCTGAGGGAAAGCCGCACTCAAGTTCGCCCGCTGCCCGAGAGTCCGCTCCTCCCCGTATGAGTCCTGAGTCCCCAGAGACTTCCCGGAACCGGAGTTCAGAGCAGTCGGAAGCTTGTGATTCAAAAAAAAAAACAGCCGCGTCCTCAGGTGCCACCCCCTTTCCGCCCGCGCGCGCTCCGCCGTACCTCTGCACTTCACCTCCGCAGCGCCTCTGGCTCTCAGCGTGCTTTTCTTTCCTTCTAGTTGTAGAATTTACACTCAGCCAGCTTTCCTGTTGTTCTGGGTGATGTCCACTCTGTCCTTTAGGGTATTTTTCAATTGTTGTGGGAGCGGCAATTTCCCGGTGTTTATCTATGCCGTCATCTTAGTTTCTCTTCAATGTTTCTCTCAGTGATGTTTCTATCTCTCTTTCCCCCTCTCCACCCTCCTTCCTCTGAAATCAATAAAAATCTATTAAAAAAGACTTCTAAAATATTTTCAAACATTTTGTTTTAGTACTTAATTGTATCAGGAGTAGTTTCTGGTCTATACAGTCATGCACTGCTTACTGATGTTTCAGTCAGTGATGGGCCACATATACAGCAGTGGTCCCATAAGATTATCATGGAGCAGAAAAATTCCTATTGCCAAGTGATGTCATGGTCATTGTAATGTTTTAGCACAACGCATGTCTGTGATGATCCTGCAGTAAACAAACCTACTGTGCTGCCAATCATATGTGCAACTATACTATTAGCACAGCCTGGCTAGTGTGGCTCAGTGGTTGAGTGTCAACCTATGAGCCCGAAGGTCATGGTTTGATTCCCAGTCAGGGCACATGCCCAGGTTGCAGGCTTGATCGCCACTAGGGGGCATGCAGGAGGCAGCCGATCAATGATATTCTCTCTCATCATTGATGTTTCTCTCTCTCTCTCCCTCTGCCTACCTCTCTGAAATCAGTAAAAATATATTAAAAAAATAAAAGTGTAGCACATACAATTATGTCCAGTACATAATACTTGGTATTGATAATAGATGATTATGTTACTGGTTTATGTATTTACTGTATTATTTATCATTATTTTAGAGTTTACTCTTTCTACTTATAAAAAATTACTGTAAACATATGATGTGTTTCTTGGGCAGCAATCTCATACATCTAATGTTTACCATGTTTCAACTGCATCATTTTCTCTTGTGCTTGATTTAATCTCGTGTTGTGTTGTACAGTAACATGATGTACAGGCTTGTAGGCTAGGAGCAATAGGCTATCCCATACAGCAGAGATGGCAAACCTTTTGAGCCTGGCGTGTCAGCATTTTGAAAAACCCTAACTAACTGGTGCCGTGTCACATATAGAAATTTTTTGATCTTTGCAACCATAGTAAAACAAAGACTTATGTTTTAATATTTATTTTATATATTTAAATGCCATTTAACAAAGAAAAATCAACCAAAAAAATGAGTTCGCGTGTCACCTCTGACACGCGTGTCATAGGTTCGCCATCACTGCCATACAGCCTCGGTGTGCAGTAGACTATAGCATCTAGGTTTGTACACGTACATTCTGTATGATGTTCGCACAATGACGAAATTGCCTAACAATGCATTTCTCAGAATGTATCCCTGTCGTTAAGTGGTGTATGACTGGGTAGTGTCAACACTGACCAAAGGAGAGTGAAGTTAAGCTATTAGAAAATTTATTTTTGGTTAAAGAAATGTTAAAGCATTCGCATTCTATTTAGGCTCATTTGCTTCTGTTTTCTTTTTAATTTTGTTTCATAGAGAGATAATTATTAAAGAAAATTTCAGTCTAGCATGTGTATGTATTGCCTAGAATTTTCAAAACCATAAAATTTCCAATTTTAAAAATACATGTTCAATGCTTCTTACTTTGAACAATATATGTTCTAATTTTTTGATAACTTGACTTTGATAACCCAATTAATATATGTAGAACAGATACTATTAACCACCTTTTGTAGGTGAGAAAACTGACTCAAGTAAGTTGACTTGTCTAATTTCATCAGCTTGTTCACAGAAAAAGCAGAATTAAAACCTATTTGATGACTCCCAGCTCTTTGCATTGGTCCAAATGGCAAAATATTTTTTTCAGCTAAAATTATATAGATGGCATTCTGTTACAGAACTTTCCATATAGAACTCTAAATTTGCTGATTTTGAAGAAAGAATTCTGCATGATCACATCTTGATTGATTATTGCATAATACATTTAAAAATTTTTTCTGCTATTGCTTTTATTGTTCTTCATTGATATTATGGGAAAGGTAAGTCCATAGATTGAAAAAGCCTCCATAATATAAGATATGAGACATTATTTTGAAGCAAGACAGCAATTCTACTTTTTAAAAAAATTTCTTTATTAAGATATTATATATGTGTCCTTATCCCCCCATTCTTCCTCCCCTCCCCCCCCCCCCCCCCAGCAATTCTACTTTTAACAATTTTGGCTTTATGGGATAGTAGAGAAAACAGTGGACTAGAGTTACTTACAACCTCTGTGACCTTAGGCAAGAATGTAAACCGTACTCTCAGTTGTATTGCCTATAACACGAGTTTGCTGGAAGAAATTCATTTAGAGTCATTTCCAATCTTAAAATGCCATGAGATCCTGTTGTTTTTTATAGCCATATCAAGGCTTCCGTATTGGTTCTTATTAGCACATCAGTAAACTAATCTTAAATTGCCTCCAATGCATCCTTTGAATGAGTGTGTTGGCATGAGGAAATCTGTACAATTAGGTGTGGATAGAAACGTTATCATTTTTCTCCCATTTCTATGATTCAGGGAGATAAGGACTTAAAAGTGTAGGTACGCAGTCACATTTTCAGCTTCTGTTCTTTAGTTACAGGTTCCTAGACACAAACTTTGGATTGCGAGAGTATTCCATACAAAGACAGCTTCTGGCCTCATGTTCAAAATTCAATTGCTTCCTTCCCCTTAACATTTCAATACCTTCAAATAATAAAAGGAAGCAAGTATTCCTGGCTTCCACTATGTCAACAAATCTGTTTTTACTGGTTTTCTTCCCCAGTTGCTATGCATATAAAGATGACTTAGCTTTCTTTGATATTTTCATGCATTATTTGAGGGTTAAAATAAAATGTGTGTGTTTGATACATACAAATACATTACATCTAAAACATACAAGTTACTAAATTTGAAACTTTAGCTTTAACTTTATTTTACTGGAGGTTTTCAGGTGTCTAAATGCAACATTGACCTTCTCGAATCTTCCATGATTCCCCACTTGGAATTCCTTTAAAGGCATTTTGCCAGAGCACTAGTGTCAAATGTTTTGTTTGTGTTAGTCAGCTTGTTTAAGCAGTCTAACTGAAATTCATAGGCTGTTTGACTAGCCTGTGTATTTTGTATGTAGGGGAATTGATTGTTTTTAAAATCATAGCAGAAAAGTAATGAATGTTCTTTCTTCTAGGAATAATCATGGTTGGGGTTATCGTTGGTTCAAAGAAGACTGGTATAAATCCTGATAATGTTGCCACACCCATTGCTGCTAGTTTTGGTGACCTTATAACGCTTGCCATATTGGCTTGGATAAGCCAGGGTTTGTACTCCTGTCTTGGTAAGTTGACTTGACACTAAATATAATGTGTTAATCAGAGTCTCTTTAAATAAATATTGTTATAGCAATGCCATGAATCTGTGGTGGCCTTCATCCATGTTAGAACTGTGGTTGAGACTGATTAGGACAATAACTGCTATTTGTTGTACACGTACTATGTGTTCTCATATATTTTTTCTTACATACTTGTTTTCTTATAGAGTTTAAAACTCTATATTATCATCTCTAATTTCAGATGAGAAAACTGAGGCTCATGCAGGTTATGTATGTTACCCACTACTGGTAGGAAGATTGAACACAGTTCTGTCTATTCTATGACCTCTGCCCTTTCCTCTAAATGGGTAGCCAGCGGAGTCAACGTACAGTGTTCTGATACGTGCATTGTACTACTGTCCCAGAACACAGGCGTATGGTGGTGCTTGAAACCTAGTGATTTTTCCCCAATCAGAAACCAGCTTGGCAATTAACTAAAAGAAAAAAAATCACCATGAAAATTAACCTGAACACTCTGTGAAGTTGGAGTCATCTTATATATGTGATTTCTAATAACAGTGATAGAGTAGTTATAGAATCTAATGACTTGTTTACTGCGATTTATACTCTGGGACTGCTACCAATATAAATGAATATGATTTGTAAGAATCGATTTAGTGCTAAAAATTGGTTGTGGTTCATTTTTTTTTAGATGCCAAATTTTAAAAAATTAAAACAGAAACCCACAGTAACTGCTGGGGTCGAGCCCCAGCAGGTCCAGGGGTTCCCCATAGGTGAGGACGGAGTCGGCGAAGAAGGAATGACACGGAGACAGCGTTCAGTTGATCAGCAGCCTAGCCAGGATCTCTAGCCAAGTTCTGGTCAGGATCTCCAGTGAAGTTCTGGTTAGGATCTCCAGCCAGGTTCTGTGTCCATGTTGTCTTGCTAGGTTCTCCAGGTTCTCCAGCCAGGTTCTGTAGCCATGTTCCCTCGCTAGGTTCTGTCTCTAGGTTCTGTCTCCAGCTTCTGTCCAGGATCTTTTGCCATGTTCTCTCCAGCGAAGTTCTTCTGTCTCTAGGTTCTGTGTAGGTTCTGTGTGTAGGTTCTGTGTGTAGGTTCTGTGTGTAGGTTCTGTCTCTCTTGGTTCTGTCTTCTAAGTTCTGTCTTCTAAGTTCTGTGTTCTAAGCTCTGTATTCTAAGTTCTGTCTTCTAAGTTCTGAGTTCTGCTGTCTTGTTGCATCTGTATTTATACCAGTTGATTCAATCCTATCAATCTCTATTACAAAGGTTAGGGCGTTTCTTATCTTCATTCCAGGGAGTAAAGATTATGTAGCTTAAGCAAGATTGTTCGTAGTTAAAGTGATTAATTACCCCCCTGGCACTTAGTTAAAAGGTTTTATTCCCTCCCTAACTTCAGGGTAAAATCCCTACCTGGGGAAACAACCTTTCTCAGAGACCTTGGTTAAAACACATAGTGCCAAGAAGGTGAGAAAACATATTAAGAACAGTATGCCATATATGCCGGGTCCCTTGAAACAGCAAGGATGGACCGGCTCTCGGCAAGTAACACAAGGGGGGGGGGGGGCGGGGAGGGAGATAGTTTATAAGCCAAATCAGGAGCATTTATTCACATGTCCTCATATGTTTTCATGGAGACTTCACAGATTTATGCTTTACTTTAGAGTAAGTCTGAAGTACATGCGGTTTGAAGAAGAGTCTCAGATACATGTTTTTGAACGAAAGGAAGGGCTTGAGCATAACAAAGGCAGGAATTATCTACTACTTTCAGAGACATCAAGGGAGGCTTCATTTAGTATATAAAATTACCCGAATTCTGTAATGAGCAGCATAAAAATAATGCTTAGTAAGAGTTGATGCGTATGTTCAAGGAATAGTCTTCTCATTTAGAAGATTATATGTTTCTACCTAGAATAAGGACACCAAACGATTAATGATCTAAATGTAAGGTCTCGTTCCCATAGGTCTTGGGTTGTTTTGTTGTTGTGGAATGAACAAGGAATGATATAAATTCAGGTATACTCAGGGTAATCCTCAATACCTTTCTCTTCCAGTCAATTTAAAACGTAGAAAATGAGAGTTATGTTTTTAAAGGGATTATTTGCTCTAATTTATATTCTTGGGTGACAGTTGGTCATACTTTTGTCCTCTAAACTATCATACAGTTTAGAAATCGATGCTGAAGTCGGGGCTTGAAATATTGGCTGATGGCTGGTATTAGAGAATGTGACTTCATGTTGTACTCCTACCATGTTAAACTTACTCACCCACTCACAGCCAGGCAGCTGGACGGCCTGTAGTCCTCACCCCGACAGGAACAGGCTGTTAATGGTTGGTGAAGGGAGACTGTCATCGCTGGGCTGGATCCCAAAGGGAAAGGGATGTTAGGCATACTTAGTGACGGCTTCCCAAGTCTTACTAATTAGATGAGACTCCCCACTCTGAGGAAGAGATAAGAGGGAAGAAGGGAGGGGTAGAAAAGAGTAAAGGGTTTCTTTCTAATCTTATTAAGAGGACAGAAATTCTATGGGTCTGGCCAGGAACATTGAGGATGGAGCTGGGGATGCGATGGAGGGATGGTAATGGTTTGGGGATGGGTTCCCTTACATACATAAAAAAGAAAGGTATATTGTTTGCAGACTTGGCTACTTAATTACCATGCAGTCATTTTAACACATTTCTCAGCTGCTTAGTTAAAGCCACAGTGGTAAAAAAGTAAGAAAAAAGAATACCATTGAAAAATGTCATCATAATAGATGATAATGTCATCAAAATAGATGATACAGACCTAAGTATGAGATTCCAGAAGATAGATCAACTTTAGAGGAGAATAATGTATGCTGACTTTTCAAATTTTATTTTCTAAAATTATACAAGTGATAAACACTCCTTATGAACAACTTAATCATAATCTATCGTCATCTGAAGCTTCAGTTTTTGAGTGTTATATATGATACATTAGTAGTTTAACTGAATCAAGAAATAAAGCAAAGTGGAATGATACCATCAGAGACCATAATTTTGAAAAATAATTTTATTATTAAATATTGCTTAGACTTTTTAGGCTTTGTCTTCTGCAAGTTGGCTCAAAATAATTCAAGCTAAATTAAAATCAGATCTTTTATATTTCACCTGTATAATTTATTTCCCTAAAAAAGATATATTTTTTTTAACTAGAGGCCCGGTGCACGAATTTGTGCACAGGTGGGGTCCCTCGGCCTGGCCAGCGATCAGGGCTGATTGGGGTCATCTTGCCCAGTCCTGGGGAAGGGACTGCAGGAGGTTGGCTGGCCAGCAGGAGGGACCCCAGGAGGTTGGCTGGCTGGGGGGAGGGACCACAAGAGGTTGACCGGCCGTGGGAGGTTGCCTGTGGGAGCACATTGACCACCAGGGGGCAGCTCCTGCATTGAGTGTCTGCCCCTGGTGGTCAGTGTGCATAATAGCGACCGGTCGACCAGTAGTTCAGTCGATCGGTCATAACAGTCACTTAGGTTTTTATATATATAGATGGGCTACTGTAGTGATGTGATTTATAAGAAATAGATGTTTGGTCGTTCAGGTGCTCAGAATATATTTCTCATATATATTTAGCCTTTGTCCAAGGTTCCTGACTCACAGCCTCCCCAAACTGTTGGGATTTTCTGAGTGATAAGAGCAATGGGAGCATCTTTTGTCAGAGTATTTTGTCATAATATCTTGTCCTCAATTCCTGAAGTTGCTTCAGAGCCAAAAGGTGAAACAGGTGTCTTGTTACTCATAACAAGCCCCTTTTCATCACGCCTGGGTGTATGTTAATGAGGTGACTTTTGGAAAGCACCTAAGGATGGGGCCGGTTGGTTGCTGGGGGAATCACCCAGAGTAGAGGAATGGATCTTTCAGTCCCATCTCTGATGTCTGGGGAGGATAGAGAGGCTGGAGGTGGGATCACTCACCAGTCACCAATGATTTACTCAATCATGCATATTTAATGAGGCCTTCATAACACCCCAAAAGGGTGGGGCTCAGAGAGCTTCGGGGTTGGTGAACACATAGAAATTTGGGAAGAATTTTGTATTCAGAGAGGGCATGGAAGCTATGGGCTTTCCCCCATACATTGCCCTATGCATCTCTTCCATCTGGCTGTTTCTGAGTTATATCCTTTTATTATTTTTCTTCTTTTACTAGAGGCCTGGTGCACGGATTGTGCACCAGTGGGGTCCCTCGGCCTGGCCTGTGGGGATCAGGCCGAAACTGGCCTGGTGCACGGATTCGTCCAGGGCATGTCCGGCCCATCTCGCCCAGCCCTGGTCGGGGCCGGCAGGCTGGGGAGGGACTGCAAGAGGGTGGCCAGCCAGGGAAGGGCCGTGGGAGGGCTCCAGGGCATGTCTGGCCCATCTCAGCCAGCCCCCAGCAACAAGCTATCCTACCGATTGGAGCGCCTGCCCCCTGGTGGTCAGTGCATGTCATAGCAACTGGTCCAACTGTCGAACAAACGGTTGGACACTTAGCATATTGGGCTGTTATTATATAGGACTAGAGGCCTGATGCACGAAATTTGTGCAAGAGTAGGCCTTCCTTCCCCCGGCTGCCGGCACTGGCTTCCCTTTGGCACCTGGGACCCAGGCTTCCCTCCGGTCCCAGCTTTGTCCAGAATGACATCCGGTCTAATTAGCATATTACCCTTTTATTATTATAGATAATAAGCTGGTAATTTAGTAAGTAAAATGTTCCTCTGAATTTTGTGAGCCACTCTAGCAAATTAATCAAATTCAAGGAGGGCGTCGGAACCTCTGATTTATAGCCATTCAATCAGAAGCACAGGTGACAACCTGGACTTGGACTGGCATCTGAAGGTTGTGTGTGTGTGTGTGCGTGTGTGTGTGTGTGTGTGTGTGTGTGTGTGTTGGGTGTGTGTGGGGGGGGGTCTTGTAGGAAGGGCTGAACCCTTAACCTGTGGATTCTGATGTTATATCTTCCTGTAGATGGTGTCAGAATTGAGTTGAATGGTAGGACACTCAGCTGGTGTCTGA